GCTGGGGCTCCTCCGTGGGCATGGGCTGGGGCTCTTCTGTGGGCACGGGCTGGGGCTCCTCCGTGGGCAGGGGCTGGGGCTCCTCCGTGGGCACGGGCTGGGGCTCCTCAGTGGGAGCAGGTGCAGGTGCAGTGGGCCTGGGGCCAGAACCACGACCTGAGTGAATACAGGGGACAGCATGAGGCTGGAGTCAGCCTGGTGCCCACAGGACCCCTGATGTGCCCAGCTGTGGTGCAGCTGCTCACCATAGAGGTACTGGATGCCCTGGACATCATCAGGGTGCAGCTGGAAGTCCTGGATGTAACTGTACATGGGGTACATCAGGGCTTCACGCACACTGGAGTGGTCCAACCCCAGTGAGTGCCCGAACTCATGGGCAGCCACCAGGAAGATGCTGTAACCTGGAGGAAAGCACCAGCCTCAGCGCCTGATGGGCCACAATGGGACAGGACACACCACCCAGGGACAATGACCCTCACAGGGAGTGAGGCAGCATGGTGTGGGTCTGGGAGGCACAAAAGGGAGCAGGGGCAGGGGGACTGGTACCTCTGTCAGGGCAGAAGCCCCACTTCTTGTCGGTGTCGTAGTTGCTGGTGGTGGCACACCAGAGCTTGCCATCCTGCCGGCCCTGGCTGGTGCAGGCACTATAGGACTCCCCCAGGAAGGTGAAAGGGAAGACACACGGGTCGCCTTGGGAGTTGCCGCCAATCACCGCTGTGTCTGCAGCACAGTGACAGTGGGGCTGGTTCTGGTCCCTGGCCGCACTGGCCAGAACCCAGGACAGCCCTGGGATCCCTCGTGTGCCCACCCTTTCCACCCCCTTCCCTATGTGCCCCTATCCCTGCTGGCACCTCGGTTGGGGCAGAAGCCGTATTTCTTGTCCTGGTCGAAGTTGGCGGTGGTGGCACACCAGCGGTAGCCATCGGAGCGCCCGTCCGTGGTGCAGGTGTCGTAGGAGGTGCCCTCAAAGATGAAGGGGAAGACACAGGGGGCCCCATCGCTGTTGCCATCATTGGTGTAGAGGACTGTGGAGAAAGGGGGAGTGAGGAGGGCCCTGGGCACTGTGGGGCTGGGCAGGGGCTGTGGCCGCTGCTACTCACGCTCGCTGGGGCAGAAACCATATTTCTTGTCCCGGTCGTAGCTGGAGGTGGTGGCACACCAGGGCAGCCCATCCTTGCGCCCCTCTGTCGTGCAATGGGAGTAGGAGCGGCCCTCGAAGATGAAGGGGAAGTGGCAGTTGGCACCATTGGCATTCCCGTGGCGGGTCTTCACCACTGCTTGGAGAGGGGCAGCTCAGTGCCAGGGTTGGGGCTGGCACCATCACCCCCCCCAACCCACCACACCCTGCCCTTACCTAAGCCAGTTCCCAGTGTCCAGAACTCATCGTCGTCAAAGTGGGCATCACCCTGGATGGCTTTGCCCGGGGGAAAGGCGTGGGCCAGAAGCCCATCCTTGCCATCGAAGGGGTACCCGTCTCCATGTTCTGTGGGGACAAGCACCCTCAGAGCTGGCTCTGCCAGAGGAGCCCTTACACCCCACCATGCACACAGACCCCTGAGCCCCACATGTCTCCTGTGTGCCCATACATTGACACATGTAGAGGCAGAGGAACCCTGGGCATGGCACAGGGAGGTGTGGGGTGAGGATCCCACCAG